TGGCCAGTTCACGAGGAGACGCCCGAGTCTTAAAAAAACTCCTTCGTCTCCTCGGAAACGTGGATAAGCCGTTGTCTTTTTGAAACACAGCAATCTGGTCTTCGATACGCTCTTGCACTTAGTCCAAAAACGGGATCAGATACGTCTCAAACGTCTTGCAATACCTCCCCGAGCTTTGTTGTCCTTCAAGGAATGCGATTTCAGACGACCCGCACAAGCTCACGACACCCCAGACCATAACGTTGCCTCCACCGATGACCCGCTTCGAGAACACTTTTTCCTCACTACGGAGGTCACGCCAGTACGCGCGGTATTGGAGAATGGCGCGGGTTGAAGTGGTTCAGGGGGCATCCTTCTTTTCTGTGGAAGCATATGCGGCTCTTCATGCGAGTCCGGCGCGATGTTGATGTGGAACGCCTGGGCATTCGATTCCTTGGATCAAGTTGAGCAGCTTCATCTTGGACGTGAATTCCAAAGTGGAGTGCAATGACGCAATATCGCTCTGTCCCAAAACGTTGACATTTTCCATACTATGTACAAGATGTGAATTCCACAGAAAAGAAGGATGCCCCCTAAACCACTTCAACCCGCGCCATTCTCCAATACTTGACTTCATCAGGACACAGCGTCGTCGTCCAGAGCCGCATGATATCGATGCTTTCGGGGCTGCTAAAATCCATCGCTTGCGTTTCTTGGAGCGACGTACTCTCTGTTCTGCATGAAACAGGGCATGCAGTATTCCGGTATGACGCATCACGAGCAAGATGGAGCTTTTCGGTCACGTGTTCATGCCTTTTTCATCTTCGACAAGTGCTAGGGCTCGTGTGCCGTCGACGACGGTGTGCGAGGGGACATGCCCACAAGCAGATTCATCGAGGCCGCGCGACATAGTAAAACAGCTCTCCAGTCGAAATCGAAACACGCAACTCCCCATGTCTTGGGGGGGCGAGGAAGTGGCTTCGTGACTTCCTCATCCGAACGCTGGAAAAATCTTGCATCATTACTCCTCGTACGACATCATCGACAGCATGCCGAGTGCCGACAGCATGGAGCCCACGCTGTCGATCATTTGACACAGGACCTAGCGGCGTACCTACGCCATCAAGTGTTCCACAAGACGCACAAGAGCGCGCCAGTGCCAGTTTTGTACAATGAGTGCATGGTCGCACCGTTGTCTGTCAACTGCACAACCACGGCTGCTTGCTGCCTTGATCGTCAGCCGTGTACCCGATCCAGTCTTGAAACAATTCTGCTGTCGATGACATGGACGCAGTCGAAGTGTCAATGATGTTCAACGTCGCTGCGTCATGATGCGGGACATTGCTGATGCCTCATGTGTGCTGGCCGACACCGTGAACCAAGTCGACAGCGCCCTTCCCAGGTTGTCTCCCGTCATGGCCACCGCAGATAACGTGTCGCTCGTGCAAGTCAAAGGCCCTCCCCAGGCACGCCATGAACGCCACGACGGCCACGTTCGAGTCGATCGTTCGAGCACCGGACTCCTCGGACCCCTTTCCAGGACTGTATTCGTACGTGAGAAAGTTCAAGTTTTGGCTTGAACAGACCTCGTCAAGCCGCGTTCGAAGTGACCAACTAGAGCGTGCAAGATTGGGAATGACAGGAAGTGAACTGCTGGGGTCGTCTTGCCACAGGACTCTTGGGTCGACGTGCACTGGATCACGTCGTCTGTCCACGATGGCGACGTCCCTACCAATACACACTACTTCCTTTTAGGAGGAGACCATTCCACCTAGTATGGGGTTTCATGTTTGTTTGGGCCAGCTGCGGACAAATCGCGAATTCAATCACCAAGTCTGACATGTTGCCCGATGCAAAGGTCACGGCGTCGGACGTGGCTGACGAGAACGAACTGGACGATGCAGAGCATCTCGTGGCGGCATGGATCAATGGCATGCCCGAGGCCAAGATCTGTCGGTTGCCGCAGACTGCATCCAAGGCAGTGCAGCTCAAGGTCAAGTACGTGGCAGTCGTTCGGGTGGACGGAGGCATTGTGCTCCATCGCGTCGAAGTGGTCTTGTGGTTCTCCATGGACCAGATCGAACAGATCCTCATCGCCCATGCCGCGCCAGCCGCATTTGTTTACAGTGATCGAAATAATTACATGGGCAGATTGAAAACTTCCGTATATCGTGATCAATTTCAGATAAAAAATGCACTAAGACTTCGGAGATTGTTCCCCATGATGGGTGTACAGTACCTCCAAGAGCAATTTCTACAATACTACAATACAGCCCTTCGTGAAGATTGCAATGGCTATACTATTCATGCAAGAAGTGTAAGTATAAATAAACTATACACCAAAACAGGGCAAATCCAAGGACAACTCGGATTGGCCAAAACGTGCTTCGGGTGACCAGTGCTCCCCTCTTGATCATCTTTGTTCTACCAAACCTCATGACAACTGCATCACCTAAAATACTGAGCTGACTACCGCTGAGGTCAAGTCCGAACCGCTCCTCGTAGTGTTGTCGTATCAGATGGACGATATTGACCATGCTCTCGCCATTAAGTTCCAACAGAAAACAAGGAAAAGGTGCGCCGCGGTGCTTGAGGTACAGTCGCCCATTGCAGATAGCGCAGTCTTATACAAAAATATATACTCTGTGCCAACGTCGGAGGCTGCGATTCTCATTGAACATACTTTCTTGAGACATTGGCGATTAGCCTTCACCAAGCGCAATGGCACCTCCTTCCTTCAGAAGGGCTATTTTTCGCTTGTAACCAGACGCAAAATCTATGTTGTGCGAATGAAAAGATGCAAGCCGTGCGCACTTGTTCACTTCACCTTTCAAGAAAGTGTCGACTTCCGGTGATATTTCGATGCTTGATTCCTTGTGCATATACTTGATTGCGCTTTTGCATGAATTCACCGTGGAAAATGAGTTGAATTGCAAAGGCACCAGCTCATTGCCGACAGAATGTCGCTTAATTGAAGGATAGGTGAGGGAGGCCTCGTAAACGTCAATTGAGATGGGTAACTGAATGCTTCCATCACTGACGCACTGTGGATGATTCTGTGACAGTCAGCGCAGAAACCGCTCGTTGTAGTAATTGTACTGCACCCTTGTACCGTCAACGAGGCGCAGGCCTACAACACTGCCTCGAGGGTCCACGGAGGTTATATATGGTACCGCTTGGTTCTACCCATGTCGCGTCGTTTGGATACAGCGGCAGGATTATTTATCCGGATACACAAAAAAATCGCGATTATTCGTAAACGCGGTGTATTGTACTGATACAAATCTCGTATACATAGGGTAAGCCTGAATTGGCGACAGCGCTAATAATATACGAAGTTTATGAATGGTTTAAACCCGGTACAAATAGTGTTGGATTCGTAGGGCATTGCATATCCGATCAAAAAATTCGTGAGTTCATCATATTCATTCGTAAGTGCGTCTATTTGCCAACGTAATGGAATATGGTTGAATTGATCCGATTTGAGGCATCGAAATATTTATATGCGCACTGTGTTTAAATTTTCTAAATGTAAAACACGCATTAAAATGGAAACAAATTGGTGTGGGGAATTGGCCAATGAATAGGCAACGCCGTGGCGCGAATCATGGCAATTGGTCAACTGCGTATCGTGCCAAGATGTCCCAAGCTCACTGGCATCGTAATGGGCCAATTATTGGCCCGGAAACACGAGAAGATATCCAATCGTGAGAATGGACGTCGACTCAAACGACCTGAATCACTTGTGCGTTCGTACCTGGAGTTCCCGGGCACGCACGGTACGGAAGGCGCGTGAAATTGACGAAGCGTGCCAAACGTCGCATTTACCGCAACAATCGTCCGCAACACTTGTCAGCAGCGCAATGCGCTAAGACATTATCGATGCGGATGACTGCTCGCACTGTGCTCAACGTGCTGAAATCGTGCAAGTTCATTAAATACGTGAATAAGAAGCCGGCGCCGTATCTGAAGTCGCATCAAAAGTAGGCGTGTCGTGCTTTCGCCGCAAAGCACACGGCGAAGATGGATTTTTGGCGTAAAGTTGTCTTCTCGGACGAAAAGAAGTTCAACTTGGACGGCCCGGATGTATACCGCGCGTACTGGCGTGACCTCCGTAGTGAGGAAAAAGTGTTCTCGAAGCGGGTCATCGGTGGAGGCAACGTATGGTCTGGGGTGTCGTGAGCTTGTGCGGGTAGTCTGAAATCGCATTCCTTGAAGGACGACAAAGCTCGGGGAGGTATTGCAAGACGTTTGAGACGTATCTGATCCCGTTTTTGGACTAAGTGCAAGAGCGTATCGAAGACCAGATTGCTGTGTTTCAAAAAGACAACGGCTTATCCACGTTTCCGAGGAGACGAAGGAGTTTTTTTAAGACTCGGGCGTCTCCTCATGAACTGGCCAAACAAGATCTCCGATTTGAACGTTATTGAGAACGATTGCGGAATTCTAGCTCGTCATGTTTGCGAGTGTAATTTGACGATGCGTCTGATTTGACGCGGCAAGTTGGTTTGCCGTGGAAAATGATAGGTACTGACAATTGAAGACGTTTGTTGACGGCATGCCTACGAGTTTGGCTCAAGTTGTTTGAAAAATGGCCATAGTATCGGCTATTACCGTAGTGCGTATATAAATATTTTCCGAAAAATACTCCGCAATTTCTAGTATCATTAACACTTAGGATAGATTTAGAAGTTTTTGAACTTACACCGCACTGCAAACTCTATTTTAGGACGAGGCGTGGTCAGATTAAAGCAATTGTCAGCACTTCTCTGCAAAACGAATATTTTCTTGTGTGCATATAGGTATTTCGTGTACTGTATGTGAGTGTGGTGTTTTATACAAGCGTGAGATTTACCGTGTGAGGTATTCTTTTAATGTGTGACGGTCACGGGGAATGACTCTAGCGCACAAGGGGGGTGAATTTCATGGTCGGGCGTTTTCGGCTTTACCAAAAGAACGCAAGGTTGAACAAAGTACGTGACTTCCAACGTGCACATGTTGTTGTCGCCATCTTGCCGGGACAAAGTGTTGTTTCTCAGATTGATTAAGGCGCCCAAGACACGCGGTAGGTCCATGCCCACGCAGCAGTGTGTAAGCGCCGTAGACATAAACCAGAACGGGAAATCCACAGGATAGACCGGCATGCGTTACATCTCGCTCACAATAGTCGTCTTCCTTTGGCACGACTACAGTAAGAGCACTTTGAGACGTAGTCTTTGCAATTATGTTGTCAGTCCACCCAGTGGGCTGTTCACCGAATCGGTTAATGTGTCTTTGTGAATCTCACTTGTCCAGGGAAGTTAATGGCA